GTCCATGACCACGCCTTGCGGTGGATTAGGGCCTAATCAACCAGGCAGTTACTGCTGGCCGCACACAAACCGTCATACGAGCCACAGCTCGGTTGGTCGGGAACTGACTTGAGGTGCCTGTCCAGCTGCCCCTTGAAGGTAACCAGGAGTCTATTGGTAATCCCCCTTATGTATACTGGGAGGCAGTTAAACAGTCTTGGGCCCCTGACACTTATTGTGTTGTCTCTTAGCGTACTCATGGAGCGCCTGCTTTTCATTGGAGAAATGTTGCACCGCCTTCCGAATCTTTTACTTTCGTAGGGAGTGATTTCCGTGTGCAGGTTTGGAACTAGTCTCTCTTAACATATTCCAAGTCTATATTATCACGTATTTTTCTCGCCTGCTTTCCAAGGAGTACAGATCAAGAGACTTCAACCGTTCCCAGCAATTTAGGTATTTTATTGTACTTATACATACAATGAAATTTCTCTGTACATTCTCCAGGTCTGCAATTTCGCCTGCCTTGAAAGGGATCGTTAGTATACAACAATATTCCAGCCTAGATGAAACAAGCGATTTGAAGAGAATCATCATGGGCTTGGCATCCCGTGGTTCGATCCCCGGTACGTGTTTACTTAAGACAGCTGCTGTCCCTGTTCGCCTAGCTGCAAGTACCTGGGTGTTAGCCGGCTGGTATGGGTCGCATCCTGGAGTATACATGGAGGGGGTTTCGGGGGTCAGTGCCCCCGCGGCCCGGTCCATGGCAAGGCCTCGCAGTGGATCAGGGCCTGATCAACCAGACTATTACTGCTGGCCGCACATAAACCGACGTACGAACCACAACCCGGCTGGTAAGGGACTGACTTTAGGTGCCTATCCAGCTCCTTCTTGAAGACAGCCAGGGATCTATTGGTAATCTTTCCTTATGTATACTGGGAGGCAGATGACAAAATTAACCTAAGTTGTCCGAAATGCTTTGCATAAGGAGGCCTGGTCACAGACCGGGCCGCGGGGGCGTTGACCCCCGGAACTCTCTCCAGGTAAACTCCAGGTAATAACTAAGGGCTTTCTATATATATATCATTGATGTCAACTAGGTCTGTATAACTTGTATCATGTACTTTTAGAAATAAATATTATTATTATTATTATTATTATTATTATTATTATTATTATTATTATTATTATTATTATTATTTAAGCAAGTTACAGTGGTGTGGAATACATAAATCATGGCACACGTCAGAGCCGTGGTAGGAGGAATGTGTTGATATTGATTCCTGCGACAACACCATTCGTGTTGCTTATAGTCTGAGCATTACCCCTTCCTATATACATTACCTTTGATATGCCTTTTCTACTCCCAGAGTCCGGCCTTGAGACAGGCTCGTCTGGTGCTTGCCTGGTCATCCTGGCTGTTGCTGCTAGTAGCCCGATGACTCACATATCCATCACATCCTAGTTGATCTGGCACCTGGTGAAGATATTTGCCCATCAATATACCTTGCTTGTATTCCAGTATTCCATACTCACACTCCAGTATTTCATACTGCCTGCTGCAGAGTTCCTCCTTTCTTATGTTCTTATACCGGTGAAATATCTCCCAGAAATCATGCTTGTTATCCTCTCCAGTATATAAAATATTCAGAGGAATTGATAAGGCAGGTAGGGGCAGGCTGTTTGAGAGGCGAGAAACAGGTACTCGGGAACACAGTTGGAAATTAGTCAGTGAGTCACAGGGATGTGGGGAAGTATTTCTTCAGCCTCAAGGTGGTCGGGAAGTGGAATAATCTCTACGAAGAAGTGGAGATAGACTCTATACATAGTATTAAAAATAAGTACGATAGAGCCCACGAGGCTAACTTGGTATGGCAAGTTAAGAACATCATGAAGAGAGGAACTTTATTGAGATGTTTTACCTGTGGACAAGCTTCGCTAGTCACTTCACAGGGATGTACAGCAGATTTATACAAGTGTAGATAAGTAAGTGGTCGGGTCAGTGAGATCAGTGTATGAGCTGAACTGTAAGATGGTGGCATTGCAGGAGGCCAACTCAACCTTCCAGTGAGTTGTTTATGCAAGATAAGTTGAGCTACTGGTTCAGCTAAACTGAAAGCTCCTTGATTCTGTTGGATTGTATTTTGTATTTAGATTAGCGCAGCTTCTAGGCATCTACGTCGTGTTTTGTCTGTTTCTTTTATGACCAGCTGGGCGTCCTTGCAAGACAGTGTATAGTCTGCTCTCTGTGGATCACAGTTTAATGCCTTTATTATGCAACTCATACCCATCCTGTGGGCGGTAGTCAAAGGATTACAGAGGTACATAATGGGTCCAGGGACTGGACTGCGAAGTTTTGATAGCTGAACTAGGCACAATGGTAATGACCTCCAGGTAGATCTTGTCACAATCATGTGGATCACACAAGCGTTATTCATTAACTTTCCTCTCTATCTTTTTTCTCCACTTGTTGGCTTTGCGCCATTCGTCTCCAGACAGATCCACGGAAAAGGGCGTTAGTTTCAATTCCCTGGATCAAGAACCCTTCACTGGCATCACGGATCCTTCCTTGAAGGGTCCCTAAATAGACTTCAGGATGTTTATCTACAGCTCCTGTACATTCTCTTTATTTAATGCTTGTTTAGCTAATTCATCAATTTTGTCTTCTTACACAAGCATGCTACATTCAGGTCTCAGGCTATTTACAGCAAGTAATGAGGCAGGAGAGTCAGTTATAATTACACAGTGTACGGTTCTTCAAACAGAAGTTTACGAAACATTGTTATAAAGGAACTATCAAACGAGCTTGAATAAAGTACAACAGTACTGATAGAAACTAGCAGATCCATTATCCATCATAATGAAATGTGTCAGGTTAGACATATCTATGGAGAAAGTAACAAGGTCAGGAGATTGGAAGATATTACTGTTAGACTAAGGTTAGGCTGTAAGTATCTCTGGCAGTACGAGTTAGGTTAGGTTAGGGAAGGTTTGTCAGGAAACAGGACAAGTGTTTCCTGACGCGGGTCTTAGTTATATGATGACCCGCAGCTGGAGCTTCTGGTCATCTGACCGAGGCCTTCCGCTGGATTACCCCTCAACTCCTTTAAAAATTAGACTTACAAACAGTACGGGTTGTATGAAAATGTCAGTGTCATAAAATGCAACGTATATGGACATAGACATGGCCATATATATTAGTCCAGACATCCACCCTTTCAGAGACAAACTTTACACGATATGACAGAATATCTCGTTGTTAATGAAGCTATCTCAAACCTGGAGATTGTGTCCACATATTGCATCGACTGGATGAACAATCTTTATAGAGGTTGTAACCTAGTTATTATGGTTGTAACCTAGTTATTATGGTCGTAACCTAGTTATTATGGTTGTAACCTAGTTATTATGGTCGTAACCTAGTTATTATGGTTGTAACCTAGTTATTATGGTTGTAACCTAGTTATTATGGTTGTAACCTAGTTATTATGGTTGTAACCTAGTTATTATGGTTGTAACCTAGTTATTATGGTTGTAACCTAGTTATTATGGTTGTAACCTAGTTATTATGGTTGTAACCTAGTTATTATGGTTGTAACCTAGTTATTAATGTTGTAACCTAGTTATTATGGTTGTAACCTAGTTATTATGGTTGTAACCTAGTTATTATGGTTGTAACCTAGTTATGATCATTATTTTTTATTTTTTTGTAGTGATAATAAGCTCAATTATTTGAGACTGCATTCCTTGCTGTTTTGTGTACAATAATTATACGAAGAAATTGTAAAAAAAATTAATGGTTCATAGATATAATTTTTTATAAGACTGTATCCCTTACTGTATTGTGTACAACAACTGTATGAAGTAACTGTAAGATGCGAAATGACTAATATTCCTTTCTAGTAATGTAACAATGATTAGTGACGTCTGACAGACCTGTTGTGTGTCTGTTATCCTGTTTTCTGTGTTACCGCTCACAGGATGAGCTGCGGGTGCACAGTTAACTAGCCACTCAGGTGACCTGGAGGGTGTTCTGGGGGTCAACGCTTCCGCGGCCCTGTCCGTGACCAGGCCTCTTGGTGGATCAGGGCCTGATCAACCAGGGTGTTACTGCTGGCCGCACGGAACCACAGCCCGGCTGGTCAGTTACTGACTTTAGGTGCCTGTCCAGCGCCTTCTTGAAGGCGGCTAGAGATTTATTGGTAATCCCACTTATGTGTGCTGGGAGGCAGATGAACAATCCTGGACTCCTGACATTTATTGTGTTGTCTCGGCGTACTCGTGAGACAACACAACAAGTGTCAAGGGTCCAAGACTGTTCAACAGCGTCCCATCATACATAAATGGGATTACCAATAGACCCCTGGCTGTCTTCAAGAGAGAGGTGGACAAGCACGTCAAATCAGTACCTGACCAAACAACTAACTCCTGCTCATCTTTAAGGTAAGATTTCGTTCGGATTTTTAACCCCGGAGGGTTAGCCACCTAGAAAGTCAGTGCGTCATCGAGGACTAACTTATATCCATTGGGGGTCCTCAATCTTGTCCCCCAGGATGCGACCCACACTAGTCGACTAACACCCAGGTACCTATTTGCTGCTAGGTGAACAGGGCAATAGGTGTAAGGAAGCGTGTCGAAATGTTCCCACCCGCCGGGAATCGAACCCGGGCCCTCCGTGTGTGAAGCGGGAGCTTTAGCCACCAGGCCACCGGGCCTGTGTTACTATCGAGTTCTAGACTTCTGGAAAGTATTCATCTAAAACTTCTGGGCTTCTTGAAATTGTTGATCTCCAGCTCGTGTATCTTTTGACAAGGTTTGGTTATCGTTCCCAAGTCTGTCGAGAAAGTTGAACTACAGCTCCTCTGACTGCTGAGGGTTTTGAGGCAGCTGCTCTGCCTCAGGCGTACGTTGAATTACTGGAGTCTGGGGTGATGTTAAGGGATGAGATGAATGACACTTCTCTCGGATTCCGCAGCGACTGAAATAAGCCTAGTTAGTATTATTATTTATTATTTTAATTACAGCCAGCAAGTGGGAAGAGTGTTGGGTGAGGAGGGTGACCTGAGAGGGTACGTTTGGTTGTGCTACCCGCCATGACGGATCCCACAATACCAGCAAACGACGCCTCGCCCAGGTAAATTCCTGTCCAGGTGATATTAAATGCTTCATTTCTTTATTCTAATTACAAATAGCAGTTAAATCGTTGACTATGTATGCTACTATAAGTATTTAGGTGTGTATGTAGAAAGCAAAAAGAGTTATGAAAAGATAAATGATAGTACAAAATTTTAGTAAGACAGCTTAGTGTCATGTGTGTGTGTGTGTGTGTACTCACCTATTTGTACTCACCTATTTGTGGTTGCAGGGGTTGAGTCACAGCTCCTGGCCCCGCCTCTTCACTGATTGCTACTAGGTCCTCTCTCTCCCTGCTCCATGAGCAGGGAGAGCTCTATCATACCTCGCCTTAAAACTATGTATGGTTCCTGCCTCCACTACATCCTTTCTAGGCTATTCCATGGCCTGACTACTCTATGACTGAAGAAATACTTCCTAATATCCCTTTGATTCATCTGAATCTTCAACTTCCAATTGTGACCTCTTGTGTCTATGTCCCATCTCTGGAACATCCCGTCTTTGTCCACCTTGTCTATTCCGCGCAGTATTTTATATGTCGTTATCATGTCTCCCCTGACCCTCCTGTCCTCCAGTGTCGTCAGGCCGATTTCCCTCAACCTTTCTTCGTAGGACAATCCCCGTAGCTCTGGGACTAGTCTTGTTGCAAACCTTTGCACTTTCTCTAATTTCTTGACGTGCTTGACTAGGTGTGGATTCCAAACTGGTGCTGCATACTCCAGTATGGGCCTGACGTAGATGGTATACAGAGTCTTAAACGAATCCTTACTGAGGTATCGGAACGCTATCCGTAGGTTTGCCAGGCGCCCGTATGCTGCAGCAGTTACCTGATTGATGTGTGCCTCAGGAGATATGCTCGGTGTTATACTCACCCCCAGATCTTTTTCCTTGAGTGAGGATTGCAGTCTTTGGCCATCTAAACTATATTGTGTCTGCGGTCTTCTTTGCCCTTCCCCAATCTTCATGACTTTGCATTTGGCAGGGTTAAATTCAAGGAGCCAGTTGCTGGACCAGGCTTGTAGCCTGTCCAGGTCTCTTTGTAGTCCTGCCTGATCCTCGTCCGATTTGATTCTTCTCATTAACTTCGCATCATCTGCAAACAAGGACACTTCTGAGTCTATCCCTTCCGTTATGTCGTTCACATATACCAAGAACAGAACAGGTCCTAGGACTGACCCCTGTGGAACCCCGCTTGTCACAGGCGCCCACTCTGACACCTCGTCGCGTACCATGACTCGTTGTTGCCTCCCTGTCAGGTATTCTCTGATCCATTGCAGTGCCTTTCCTGTTATGTGTGCCTGATCCTCTAGCTTTTGCAGTAACCTCTTGTGAGGAACTGTGTCGAAGGCCTTCTTGCAGTCCAAAAATATGCAGTCGATCCACCCCTCTCTCTCTTGTCTTACTTCTGTCACCTTGTCATAAAACTCTAGTAGGTTTGTGACACAGGATTTTCCTTCCCTGAAACCGTGCTGGTTGTCAATTATACACTTGTTTCTTTCCAGGTACCCCACCACTCTCCTCCTGATGATCTTCTCCATGACCTTGCATACTATACACGTTAGTGATACAGGTCTGTAGTTTAGTGCCTCATGTCTGTCTCCCTTTTTAAAAATTGGGACTACATTTGCCATTTTCCATACCTCAGGAAGTTGCCCAGTTTCAAATGATGTGTTGAAGATCTTTGTTAATGGCTCACACAATATCTCTGCTCCCTCTTTAAGGACCCATGGAGAGATGTTGTCTGGTCCCACCGCCTTTGAGGTGTCAAGTTCGCATAGCAGCTTCTTCACCTCCTCCTTGGTTATATGTACCTCATCCAGCACTTGCTGGTGTGCCCCCCAGTTCTGATTTCTTGGAGTCCTACTGGTTTCCACTGTAAATACCTCTTTAAATCTTGTGTTGAGCTCCTGACAAACCTCTCGGTCGTTTCTTGTGAATTCCCCATCACCCTTCCTCAGTCTGATTACCTGGTCCTTGACTGTTGTTTTCCTCCTGATGTGGCTGTACAACAGCTTCGGGTCAGTCTTTACTTTTGATGCTATGTCATTTTCGTATTGTCTCTGAGCCTCCCTTCTTATCTGTGCATATTCGTTTCTGGCTCTTCGGCTGATTTCTTTATTTTCCTGAGTTCTCTGTCTTCTGTACCTTTTCCATTCTCTAGCACACCTAGTTTTTGCCTCCCTACACCTTTGGGTGAACCAAGGACTCGTTCTGTTCTTCCCATTATTTCTGTTTCCCTTGGGAACAAACCTCTCCTCTGCCTCCTTGCATTTTGTTGCTACATAGTCCATCATTTCTTGTACTGGTTTTCCTGTCAGTTCCCTCTCCCACTGAATGTCTTGAAGGAAGTTCCTCATGCCTGGGTAGTTCCCCCTTTTGTAGTTTGGTTTTTCCCAGCCTATTCCTGCTACTCTCTCCACTTGGAGCTCAACTATGTAGTCGAAGCACAGAACCACATGATCACTAGCTCCCAGGGGCCTTTCATACATGATACCCTCGATGTCCGAACTACTTATGGTGAATACCAGGTCCAGCCTTGCTGGTTCATCCTCTCCTCTCTCTCTGGTAGTGTCTCTAACATGTTGATGCATGAGGTTTTCCAGTACCACATCCATCATCTTGGCTCTCCATGTTTCGGGACCCCCATGGGGCTCCAGGTTTTCCCAGTCAATCTCCTTGTGATTGAAATCACCCATAACTAGTAACTTTGCTCCCCCCATGTGTACTCTCCTGGCCACCTCGGCTAGTGTGTCGATCATTGCTCTGTTGCTCTCATCGTATTCTTCTCTTGGCCTCCTGCAGTTCTGTGGTGGGTTGTACATTACTGCAATTATCACCTTATGTCCCTCAGACTGGATTGTTCCTACTAAGTAGTCCCTTTCGCCCGTGCCATCCATTCCTTCCATTTTCTCAAAACCCCACTGGTTTTTAATGAGCAGTGCAACTCCTCCTCCCCCTCTCCTCCCTCTGTCTCTCCTGAGGATTTGATATCTGGATGGAAAGATTGAATCTGTTATTATTCTGGTGAGTTTTGTTTCTGTGAGTGCTATTATGTCTGGGGATGTCTCTTTGATTCTTTCGTGCCACTCCTCATACTTGTTTGTTATTCCATCTGCATTTGTATACCACACCTACAGCTTCTTTTCTAAGACTGTGGTCTGGGAGGTATATTGGGGTTGGGGAAGTGGGAGACCTGGTAAGGAACTATGGGTTGTTGCTGTGGGGGTGGAGTTTGTAATGTAGTGGGTGGGGGCATTGGATGTGGCATGGGTGTTTTGATTTAGAGTGTTTGGTTGCACTGGGGTTGACCTGGTTAGGAGGCTTCTATAGGAAGTTGTGAGGGAGGCTGTATCTGATCTTCTTCCTGGGTCTGGGATTTCCTGTCTGTCTTCTCCATCCCCTCTCTTTCCTCCTTTCGCCTTTGTACCATCTCTCTCAGTTTCTGCCTTTCTTCTTGCGTTCTGTCGCGAAGCCTGAGTAGATCTATAACCCACTATGATAACATGAACGTAGATAAGTATGTTTATGGAGCAACTTGCACTGTGAACAGACTGACTGATGTTGTAGTGGCCAGGCTTAGGCTTGGTTACAAGTACTTCTGGCAGTTTGGGAGACACACATATGATGATCAAACTAAATGTAAATTATGTGATCAGGCATATGGTCACTCTCTTGAACACTATGTGCTTAATTGTCCACTTATTGAGGAATACAGAGACAGACAGTATAATAACCTATGTGACATGTCAAGATATCTTATTAATGAAAATAAGATACCAGATATACTAAGCAAATTTCCTAAATTTGCTTGTAACAGATAAGTGAACTATAGATATGTAGATATAAATCCATATGTATTCCTGTTAACCCTTTGGGGCCTAGTTCCTAGGCCTTTTGTGTATCCACATGCTCTCGCGCTACCGTCCACAGGATGGATATGGGGTGCACAATAAACTAGCCACTTCGGTGGCAAAATCTAAAAAAAAAAAATCTCTGTCGCGGTCGAGATACACCTTCCTGTATGCCGGCATGTCCCTTAATCGTGCTTTCTCCTGCAGGATCCTGGTCCGAGTCGTTTCTGCCTTGAAGGTCACTCTCACTGGCCGGGTTCTTTTTTTTTACAAACCCCCCTATTCTCCGAAAATTTTCCAGCTGGGTCATGTCGTCTTCTCCTATTGCTTTCATGATGCTTTCAATTGTTTTTTTTTTCCCCTTGTTTTCTTGCTTCATATGTTTCCCCTTCAACTTCCTGGAGCCCATACACAAAGACTGACCTCACCCTTTCATTCTCCCACTGCATATCCCTGTGTATCCCCTCATTTAATTTGGTTTCCTCCACTGCAGCTTTTCTTTCATCAGTGGCCTCTTCACTGACCGCTACTAGGTCCTCTCCCTCTCTGCTTCCTGAGCTTTGTCATACCTCTTCTTAAAACTATGTATGGTTCCTGCCTCCACTACTTCACTTGCTAGGCTATTCCACTTCCTTACGACTCTATGACTGAAGAAATACTTCCTAACGTCCCTGTGACTCGTCTGAGTCTTCAGCTTCCAGTTGTGACCCCTTGTTCCTGTGTCCCCTCTCTGGAACATCCTATCTCTGTCCACCTTATCTATGTGTGTGTGTGTGTGTGTGTGTGTGTGTGTGTGTGTGTGTGTGTGTGTGTGTGTGTGTGTGTGGTGTGTGTGTGTGTGTGTGTGTGTGTGTGTGCTCAACAATCAATATTTGCACCAATAACTCATTACAGTTGTGACCGGGTGTGGAAGTGTGAATTGCTCATTACTCTATAATTTGTTCATGATTGTAGCCATGTATAAACGTAAGTAACCATTCTTACAGGATTCATTACCTTTGTAACTTGTAAGTAAGTAAGTAAGTAAGTTTATTCAGGTATACACAAATACAGTTACAAAGAATTATCATACATAGCAGCATATGTGTAGAGAACCTGGGATAACCCAAAAAAGTCAGAGTGACTTATTTCCATTGGGGTCCTTTTACCT